AAGTCATTGGTGTACGTTTTGTATATGGGGTGCTTCCTAGCACAGTTAAACGTTTTTTTTATTTCCGTTTTTTACTTTATTCCGTGTCCGTGTGCTTTTCAATAATATATGTATATATGCAATTTTCGTTTTCCTGTAAGCTGTGAACGGAGCTTGAACTATATGGGAGGCAGTATTTTTCAATGTGTGCATCTCGTCAGTGTATAAGTTCACTTATAGCTGCGGGCATTTGTGTTTTTTTGAGATGTCAAATATCACAGTGTATTTCGTTTTGTTATATTAGATATTTTCATTGTAGTGAATGGTAGCGTCATCCTGATCCACCTTTGAACTGTAGGGGCATATTCTTAGTCCATGATAATAACCCGTGGTAGTCGCCCAAATTAACGTATGGTTGTGCTCTTAAGGCACCTGAGTTTTTAGATTAAGTCTTGGATAACGTTGTGTGTTGGCAGCGAAGCCACGCCTAGTAATATGCCAGATGAAGTACCCCGGGTTGTATAATACGTGATTGCTTGTGTATGTGTGTAATTCTGTGTGCTTGTTTTGTCACATTGTTTATTTGTATAGTGTTTATTTTCCTGTGTTTTTGACTTTATTATTTATTTATATAAGAAATCTAGTTAGTGCCTGGTATCTCGTTGACATATTATTTTAGCACCCATAACTATTTTGTACCTGAGTTTTCAATAAAAAAAAAAAAAAATCTTATTGTATAGGGGTTAATTTTGGGAAGAGCATGTACTTGTTTTTAACTGAGATTGTGAATGTAGGTCATTACTCTGATTATATACTGTGAAGGTTGTGAACCTTGTCATATGTCAGTCATAGTATGTTAACATACAAATCTGAAAGGTTTAAAATAGTTTATTTTTTTTATATAGTTTATATAGTTATAGTTTATATTGTTTATATTATAGTAGTATGTTATATGGAAAATTTTGTGAATGTATATGAGTAACCTTTTTTATGTCCATTACAATGTGTTGTTAAAACTTTTAGTGTATTTTGTGTAGGATTGTTAGTGATGTTGGGGTAGGATTGTTAGTGTATGTTGTGTAGGATTGTTAGTGTATGTTGTGTAGGTTTTGTTAGTGTATGTTGTGTAGGATTGTTAGTGTATGTTGGTGTAGGATTTTTTAGTGTATGTTGTGTAGGATTGTTAGTGTATGTTGTGTAGGATTGTTAGTGTATGTTGTGTAGGATTGTTAGTGTATGTTGTGTAGGATTGTTAGTGTATGTTGTGTAGGATTGTTAGTGTATGTTGTGTAGGATTGTTAGTGTATGTTGTGTAGGATTGAGGATCCTACTGTACCCATTTTATTCTTTATTTAATATTAAGCTGTAAAGTTTTTTTTAATAAAATAAAAAAAAAAAAACTTTATAATCTAAACATTTAATCGGGTCTTCTGGGTTCTATACTGCGGTCGCTTAATTTGCTGATGACCTCCATATAGTTAATTAAGTTCCCTCGCAGAAGACCTAACACCTCCTCAATGGTCTCTCTGACTTCAACAATGTCTATCCTCACTCTGAGAGATAACCGTTCATTGACTCTCCATTGAAATGTCTCTTGGCCGAGCACTGGGCAGAAGGTTGCCATATATGGCAAATGGTATGAACACTTTGTCTTGTAAGTTACTGCGGATGTCCGACACATTAAACATTCAGTAAGTGAATATCCTAGCCTGATGAGACATGATCAAATCTAATGAGCCATTAAGGACTCGCATGTCAAGAAATGCAGTATTAAATTAGGTCTCCCATGAAGACAGGGAAAGAGAAACAGGGGAGAGTATCTGGTTATTTACTCCACTTTCCCTCCGTAGTGGGGGTTGTCTGGTTCTTCACCCCCCTCCTAATGGGGGCCAAGAGCTGGTGGAAAATTCCACCACAAACTGACAGTCTTCATAAACACTAATTAGAGTTTATATGACACTAGAAGGGAGAAAAAAAACTTTTTTTTTCCAGATTAAGTGGGCAGTACTGAATAATCAAGTGGCTTCTAAAATAACTGAGTACAGAGCAGAGAAGAACCAGAGTACCAGAATAAAACAAACAGAAAAATAGAGATTTAATATATATGCTTTTAAGTTTTTAATTAAAAATGGAAGGAATTATTTCAAAAATATTAGAAATAAGGGACATTATAAGTGAGACGAAACGTGATACAGGCTATATAACTGAAGATAAACTAGAAAAAAATTATGTTGAATTATGTATTGAATGGCAGCTAATCAATGTGGAGAATGAAAAAGAGGAAGTATACTAATATTGCCAAAAGAAACAAATAACAATTATGGATATTTTAATACAAAGCAAAACATGAAATTATATTAATAAAAATCCAAAGATGAGACACCATATGTAATATGAAATGCCCACAATTTAATTCCCGAGTGAGAGAATTTGATAACATAAATGAGAGATGACATTTTGTTTCTAAGGGAATAATTGCTGTGAATGAATTAATCGGGTGGAAAAAAATAAATCGTCCTAGTATAACAGCTGGAACCAGTCACCAAAGAACCTGAGGAGAGAAAACCTTAAGTCACAGGTGGAATGGGCAAAGTGGAGAAAGCCTGAAGACAATACTTAAGGTGGTTGGATGAGAAAGGAGTAATAATAGTAGCCATAAGAGTAGTCGTGGTAGTGGACATAAATTAGTGGCATTAGTATGTACTAGTATTGATAGTAGCTAAAAACAACTTTATTTTCGGTCTTTTTTCTTGCTCCAACATTCGGACGAACTTGGAGTGAATTTTGCGATATTTCCCCAATAAATTAGGTTTTACCAAGAATTTGTAGCGAAAAAAGGCAATAATAATAACCCTTTGCCGATAGTGCCCTGAAATGCGCAAGGTTCGAGCATTTTTTCCGTTGAAACTAGTGATATTGCTAAAAATCTGTAGCGGGAAAATGGCATATTTCAATGATTTTTTTTTCATACAGTGATGCTTATACAGACGAAATTTGTGAATATTTTCCGTAGAGAAAACGACAATAATCGTGGCTTTTTTTTGCCGAGAATTTGCCCAAAATTTGGAAGGTTTGACCAGTTTTTCATGACTGTAGGTATGAAAAGGTCGGATTTTCTTTAGGCTTTGCGAAAACAGTGACAAAAACAAAGATTTTGCAGATTTTTTCTCAATCAATTATTCTTCAAGAATCGGCCGATTTTTCCAACCATTCGAGTTTATTTTGGGCGCCAATTTACGCTTTTGCAAATGTCATCAGTTGTTCGGCTGAAATATGACGCTTTTCGCCACATGTTCTCTAAAGATTGTTTTGCTGAGCGGAAATTAAGACTTTCAAGAAAAAAGGCAATTTGAGGTCAAAAATGGGGAGATGTGAACAAAAAGTGTTTGATAAAAAGAAGGGAGTGGTAAATAACAGAAAATGATGAATACACCTCTAAAGAAAATGTATAGTATATCTGTGAAAGATTTATATAACAGTATTTCCACTTTTTACTGTAAAGCGTAGTATTTAAAAAACCCACTTGTAAATATTTTGAGGACTCAGAGGGAGAGTTATAGGGAGTCACAATGTTTATGTTCTTAAAAAATAATCCCCAGCTCCCTCAGGTATTACCTGGAGAGAGTTCCGGGGGTCAACGCTCCCGCGGCCCGGTCTGTGACCAGGCCTCATGGTGGATCAGAGCCTGATCAACCAGGCTGTTACTGCTGGCCGCACGCAATCCAACGTACGAGCCACAGCCCGGCTGGTTAGGTACCGACTTTAGGTGCTTGTCCAGTGCCTGTTTGAAGACTGCCAGGGGTCTAGTGGTAATCCCCCTTATGTATGCTGGGAGGCAGTTGAACAGTCTCGGGCCCCTGACACTTATTGTATTGTCTCTTAACGTGCTAGTGACACCCCTGCTTTTCATTGGGGGGATGTTGCATCGTCTGCCGAGTCTTTTGCTTTCGTTGTGAGTGATTTTCGTGTGCAAGTACTAGTCCCTCTAGGATTTTCCAGGTGTATATAATTATGTATCTCTCCCGCCTGCATTCCAGGGAGTACAGGTTCAAGAACTTCAAGCGCTCCCAGTAATTGAGTTGTTTTATCTCCGTTATGCACGCCGTGAAGGTTCTCTGTACATTTTCTAGGTCAGCAATTTCACCTGCCTTAAAAGGTGCTGTTAGTGTACAGCAATATTCCAGCCTAGATAGAAAAAGCGACCTGAAGAGTGTCATCATGGCCTTGGCATCCTTAGTTTTGAAGGTTCTCATTATCCATCTTGTCATTTTTCTATCTGATGCATTTGATACAATGTTATGGTCCTTGAAGGTGAGATCCTGCGACATGATCACTCCCAGGTCTTTGACATTGGTTTTTCGCTCTATTTTTTGGCCGGAATTTGTTTTGTACTCTGATGAAGTTTTAATTTCCTCATGTTTACCATATCGGGGTAATTGAAATTTCTCATCGTTGAACTTCATATTGTTTTCTGCAGCCCATTGGAAGATTTGGTTTATGTCCACCTGGAGCCTTGCAGTGTCTGCAATGGAAGACACTGTCATGCAGATTCAGGTGTCATCTGCAAAGGAAGACACGTTGCTGTGGCTGACATCTTGTCTATGTCAGATATGAAGATGAGAAACAAGATGGGAGCGAGTACTGTGCCTTGTGGAACAGAGCTTTTCACCGTAGCCGATCAGACTTTACTCTGTTGACTACTACTCTTTGTGTTCTGTTTGTGAGGAAATTATAGATCCATCTACCAACTTTTCCTGTTATTCCTTTATCATGCATTTTGTGCACTATTACGCCATTGTCACACTTGTCACACTTGTATGGTGGCACTTACATCATTGATGCCAACATGGGTATCCCAAATATCACTGCTGTCGTGACCCGCCTTAGTACCACTAGCTACTCTTTTTTTTACATGTCTTTAAACTCATCCACAACTGCTGTACAGGCAATTTGTGACAAAAACCCAGTTCAGTTTTTCCTCCTAATTGAATAACCTAATTTTTGTTTTGCTTACAGATGGGGTATTTCTGCTAAAAAAAGACTATTGCACTTCATATTTTCTTTTCTGTTCGACTCCAGAAAAATCATCACAGTGATCTTGATTAAACAAGAATAAGAGGAAGTATTTAAGGGAATCTCTGTGCTGAGCTGATCTGTTGCCCAACAAACTTCGTGACACCATTCATCTTAAAATGGCAGATATGAAGGTAACACAATTGCTAAAATTAATGTAATATAATGTGCATAGTTATAACCAGAGGATTGAACTATACAAGTTCAAATGAATTAAAACACATTGGAATCATATTTATGTAGTTTATTGCAAACAACATAAGTATTACACTGGTGGATGTAAGAATGTGCCGTCTTATTATGCAGTGTTTTAAATAACAAAAAGGCACAATACCGTGACTGGAACGATACACAAATAACCCGCACATAAAAGAGAGAAGCTTACGACGACGTTTCGGTCCGACTTGGACCATTGACAAAGTTATTTGTGTATGCAGTGTTTTCATAGAACATAGGTAGTCGGGAATTATACGCAGGAAGGAATACATATGAATGACCGCATAGGGGACAGGAGCCATAGTAGGGAAACAAGTGTAGTCAAAGATAAGATAAAACCAATATTGCAAACTAGAAATACCGCAGGAAATAGCAAACAAGAGGACTCCACTAGCAATAGTGAGGATATATTACCAAAAACAAATGGTGGGAGCTCCATTGTTGGTGCTAGGGAGGATAGAAGTAAGACAGGGAAACATGCACCAACAGGGAATACAGTCACAGAAACCAAGGCAAACGGAAACCAAGCCTGTGCACATACTATGCACTCGGTATCTGCTGGCATGGGAAATCTGGAAAAACAGATGGGACGTGCAACTATGACCACCCTAGGAAATGTCATGCCCATATGAAAACAGGAAAATGCAAACTCCCTTCCTGTAAGCTTTTTCACCCTAAACTGTGTACCTCTTCAGTACAGGAAAGACTGTGCTATAACTTAAATTGCCAGGCATACCATCTAAAGGGACAAAAGATACAAAACATCCAGGCCATGGGAAAACCTGGGTAGCCACAGTCACTCAAGAGGGAGAGGTTTTTTAGTGCCAGGAAGGAAAAAAAAACTGGCAGGAAATGGCAGAAATCGTACACCAAATCCAGTCATTCCTGGAGTGGAACCATAGTCGATGGCCTCCACTCCAAACCAACAGATACAGATACTAATGCCGGAAAAAAAATCCCCCCCAGTACCAACAATACCACCAGTCCGATAACATTCTTCTTTGCAAATATACAGGGTCTAAAGCCAGCAACAAACAACAAAATACCTTTCATCCGTGGACTGCTTGCAGAGGCAAAGGCAATGTTCGCGGCTTTCACTGAGACCCACATAAAGGATCACTTGGACAACGAAATATGGATCCCAGGTTACAACCTATATAGATGTGACAGAGTGAACAGGCAAAAGGGGGGGGTTGGCCTGTACATTGCAGAGTCACTTGTTTGCACAGAACTGCTAAATGCCTCAAATGATGTAGTGGAAGTTTTAGCAGTAAAGGTCGAAAACCAAAACCAAGTCATTGTGATAGTCTACAAGCCTCCGGATGCAACATCCCAGCAATTCCAGGAAACAGCTGTTAAAAATTGACCACTGTCTGGAAAACCTTCCAGCTCCTGCACCCAACATCTTGCTCCTGGGGGATTTCAACTTAAGGCACCTAAAATGGAGGAATATAGCAAATAATATTGTTGCAGTAATAACACCAGGGCAGCTCTGATGAAAACTCACACTCACGCGAGCTTTTAATCTCTGCACAAAATTCAATTTAAACCAGCAAATAATAGAGCCTACTAGACTGGAGATACACTAGACCTCATCTTCACTAACAATGATGATCTGATAAGAAATATCACCATATCAAAAACAATATACTCAGATCACAACATAATTGAGGTTCAGTCATGTATGCGCGGAGCCCCAGCCCGACATAATGAGATAGTCACGAGGGAGCATTCACCAAATTCAACTTCAATAACAAAAACATAAAGTGGGACCAAGTAACCAAGTCCTAACCGATATAAGCTGGGAAGATATACTAAGCAACACAGCCCCCAACTTATGCCTAGAACAGATTAACTCGGTAGCACTCGATGTATGCACAAGGCTTATTCCTCTAAGAAAAAGGAGGAGTAGATGTAAAACAGAAAGAGACAGGCGCTCCCTTTACAGGCGACGGAAAGAATAACAGAGCGGCTAAAAGAGGTCAATATATCTGAAATGCGTAGGGAGACATGGTCAGAGAAATAGCAAGCATCGAACTTAAGCTAAAAGAATCCTTTAGGAGTCAGGAATCGCGGAAGAACTAAAAGCCATAAATGAAATCGAAAGAAACCCAAAGTATTTCTTCTCCTATGCCAAATCAAAATCGAGAACAACGTCCAGTATTGGGCCCCTACTTAAACAAGATGGGTCCTACACAGATGACAACAAGGAAATGAGTGAGCTACTCAAGTCCCAATATGACTCAGTTTTTAGCAAGCCGCTAACCAGACTGAGAGTCGAAGATCAAAATGAATTTTTTATGAGAGAGCCACAAAATTTGATTAACACAAGCCTATCCGATGTTATCCTGACGCCAAATGACTTCGAACAGGCGATAAATGACATGCCCATGCACTCTGCCCCAGGGCCAGACTCATGGAACTCTGTGTTCATCAAGAACTGCAAGAAGCCCCTATCACGAGCCTTTTCCATCCTATGGAGAGGGAGCATGGACACGGGGGTCGTCCCACAGTTACTAAAAACAACAGACATAGCCCCACTCCACAAAGGGGGCAGTAAAGCAACAGCAAAGAACTACAGACCAATAGCACTAACATCCCATATCATAAAAATCTTTGAAAGGGTCCTAAGAAGCAAGATCACCACGCATCTAGAAACCCATCAGTTACACAACCCAGGGCAACATGGGTTTAGAACAGGTCGCTCCTGTCTGTCTCAACTATTGGATCACTACGACAAGGTCCTAAATGCACTAGAAGACAAAAAAATGCAGATGTAATATATACAGACTTTGCAAAAGCCTTCGACAAGTGTGACCATGGCGTAATAGCGCACAAAATGCGTGCTAAAGGAATAACAGGAAAAGTCGGTCGATGGATCTATAATTTCCTCACTAACAGAACACAGAGAGTAGTCGTCAACAGAGTAAAGTCCGAGGCAGCTACGGTGAAAAGCTCTGTTCCACAAGGCACAGTACTCGCTCCCATCTTGTTCCTCATCCTTATATCCGACATAGACAAGGATGTCAGCCACAGCACCGTGTCTTCCTTTGCAGATGACACCCGAATCTGCATGACAGTGTCTTCCATTGCAGACACTGCAAAGCTCCAGGCAGACATCAACCAAATCTTTCAGTGGGCTGCAGAAAACAATATGAAGTTCAACGATGAGAAATTTCAATTACTCAGATATGGTAAACATGAGGAAATTAAATCTTCATCAGAGTACAAAACAAATTCTGGCCACAAAATAGAGCGAAACACCAACGTCAAAGACCTGGGAGTGATCATGTCGGAGGATCTCACCTTCAAGGACCATAACATTGTATCAATCGCATCTGCTAGAAAAATGACAGGATGGATAATGAGAACCTTCAAAACTAGGGAGGCCAAGCCCATGATGACACTCTTCAGGTCACTTGTTCTATCTAGGCTGGAATATTGCTGCACACTAACAGCACCTTTCAAGGCAGGTGAAATTGCCGACCTAGAAAATGTACAGAAAACTTTCACGGCGCGCATAACGGAGATAAAACACCTCAATTATTGGGAGCGCTTGAGGTTCCTAAACCTGTATTCCCTGGAACGCAGGAGGGAGAGATACATGATTATATACACCTGGAAAATCTAGAGGGACTAGTACCAAAACTTGCACACGAAAAATCACCCACTACGAAAGCAAAAGACTTGGCAGACGATGCACCATCCCCCCAATGAAAAGCAGGGGTGTCACTAGCACGTTAAGAGACCATACAATAAGTGTCAGGGGCCCGAGACTGTTCAACTGCCTCCCAGCACACATAAGGGGGATTACCAACAGACCCCTGGCAGTCTTCAAGCTGGCACTGGACAAGCACCTAAAGTCAGTTCCGGATCAGCCGGGCTGTGGCTCGTATGTTGGTTTGCGTGCAGCCAGCAGCAACAGCCTGGTTGATCAGGCTCTGATCCACCAGGAGGCCTGGTCTCAGACCGGGCCGCGGGGGCGTTGACCCCCGGAACTCTCTCCAGGTAAACTCCAGGTATAGTGCAGAAGTGTGTATAATTAAAAATAAGTGAGTGTATAGATTTATAAAGAAAGGATTATGTAAAAAGATGCATATAAAATTTTTAAAAAATAAATTATAGCTTCATTTGATGGTTAATGTCAATTTAATATATTAATCTTTGAAGAGATTTGGTATGCAGTTTTTACCTTTCTCTACTTGTATCAATTCTTTTACCTCTTAATCTCCCCATTTTTCAATAATAGTGTATCCTATCAATGTTCAGTGCTAATAAACCTCTACTATGAATGTTTATGTCTAAACCTTCTACATATTTAATAAAAACCTTAACATTAACAAACCACAATATTGGAGGTGTTAGAACCCATGAGAAGTGAGTCGTACAACTCCAGGCTAGTGCGTTAGCCACTGGGCCAGTTGGCTACAAGAAGATTCATCAAGTAGATACATTTATGCACTTTCCTATGGTGTATAAATACATATACCTAGTTGGGTGAATCTTATTGCAGCCAGGTAGTCTAATGGCTTCCAACTGGCGTGGAGTTTTATAACTCACTTGCCATGGCTTCTAACCCTACCCATACTATGGTTTGTTTACATTTGTGTCATTACAATTTCGTGAGCCATGACATTAATCATTATTGTTATCGTTGCAGAGTGACCCGAGAGACTGTGCAATCTGCTTCCAAAGATTCAACTACGATGATCGACAGCCACGAATGTTCATCTCTTGTGGCCACTCTGCCTGCTCCTCCTGTATCAACCAAATGATCATCAACGGCAAAATTCGTTGTCCATACTGCCGTGCAAAATGTGACATCACAAATGTCCGACAATTGCCTGTTAATTTTGGAATGCTGCAACTTGTAGATTGTCCTCAGTCATCTGAGGGCTCACCAGCATCTATTAATATACCATGGGTACTTTCACCCAAAATTAATGCAGGACTTTGTGAAGAGCATGGTCAGTACAAGTTATTTGAGTGCACCACTTGTGACCAGTATATATGTCACGTGTGTACCGTCGTTGAGCACAAGAAATCATGTAAAATTATTTGTATAAAGAAAGCAATAGAAATAATGAAAGACTCAAAGGTGAAAGAATTCAATTCTGTGCTTACCAGTTATAAGGAAATGACACAACATCTAGAAAACTATAAAGAACTCTTAGATAAGCAGATCTCTGGCCATTTGAATCACATAATTAAGCTAGAGAAGATTGTGGAGGACCACAGTGATCTTGTTAAGAAATTGCAGAATGAGTGTACTAAAGTTAAGGAAGCTCTAGAAGAGAGTGGCGAAATGCAGAGTTTGCTCAAGACCTCCAAGGATGCTGTTACTGCCTTATGTGGATTTCATGAAGTTAAAGATTCCATCATTAAAGAAGATAGTCATCTTAAAAGTGCCCAAGCATCAAGACTCAAATGTATTGAGGAATTCCGAAACCGGGACATTTTCTCATCATCTCTCAAGGTCAGTGCTTCAACCATGAAATATTCCGTTTATCAGCCTAAGGAATCTGATTCTTTCTTTAGACTTCTGAGGTATTTTGTAAGAACTCATTAGGCTCAAGCTCAGTTTACACATCCCTAAAGTTTCTAAAACCAAGAGTGGTTCACTTAGCCCTGCAACATTTAAAGCAATTCACATGCAGTTTTATAACATATGAAAACACTCCTTTCACTCTCATATTCATTTATTGCTCAACCATACACTAATTTGCCTGTCACTTCAACTCGCCAACTTATAATAAGTTAAATAGTAAAAAAGTCTACTTACTTTTTTTCCACAGTTGACATGCATTTGAAATTATGACCTGAAATGCTTTGAAATTTCAGATGGCTTGTTCCTCTTACCTTTTGTGAAAAGTAGACCTCGGTTCATCTTAAATCATTTTACCATAGAACGGTGTTCGTGGCTAGTCCAAAACATTAAAGAATGGATGACTGGTCATTTCAAAAGCTCATTTGTTTTACACTAGAAGAGGTGACTTCTTGCTGAGTGCAAAATTTCATTCTAGATAAACGACTGTTGACTCATGACAGTTTTTTTACTACAGAATAATAGGAAAAGCGTGAGAAAAGTATTACAAGAATTAACATTGTATCTGAATCATTTAAATCACATGCAGAATACACAATAACTAAAATATAATATTTCTCTCCAATCACTTGACATGGTAGCGAAGTTTGAGTACCTAGCCTGACTTATGAACTCAGCATTTCCATGCTGCTTTTCCTTCATTTATTAGGCTTATGTAATGGGGATTTTTCTCCAGTTAAATTCTGCTTTTTGGAAAATGGAATATATTATTGTTGCTCTTCTTGCTGTCACACCAATTGCTGTGCTGAGGTGGTCCACGCCCCTAAAGGAGACTGGACCATTGGGTTGACCAATTGGTGGTACACTGCTGGTTCATCTGGTGGCTGTCGCCTGTGGCTCCATGAGAGGCACTAGTGCCTTTGGCACTCTCAGTCTCGGTAAGCAGTTTTGCTAATTCTTGTTTTGCAAATTCTGGGTGAGCCTTCCTGTGGCTGTACCTCAGGTAGGATAAAGGGTTGTCCTCAAAATATTATTGGCACTGCCTGTCCTGTTGGTATTGAGAATTGGGATATATTGCAGGTAGTGTTTTGTAGGCACCCATAGGTCTCTCATCTCTTTCTGAACTTCTGTGTTCTCACCTCTATGCTTATCGATGCACCAGCAACCTTTTCTATTGACCCCTGCATGGGCATGGTTCATGGTAGTGACTCAGACTTGACATTCAACTGGGTGCCTGGCTGCCGTTGCTGGCCTTGGTCATGATTTCCAACTCCGTATTGAAAGTGACTCTGTATACATCCCAGTGGTGTATGTGCATATTTCTGTAATGTTGATAAGAATGCTGCATTATTTCTGTTTTAGCTAGTGTTGGCAGATTGTTTTAGCCAAAGGTACCTTTGCTGACCAAAAAAAAGGGACCAATTCTTACTGATCGGACTCTTTCCAATTGTTGTGAACCTCTGAATAACTCTTTGTTACATTTACCACCTAATTCCAGGTAACAGTTAAATAAGCTATTTCTGTTGGTAGCATTCTCTCTCTGTGGACAGTAGTAAGGAAGTGGCTCCCTAGACATCCTTTTGTTGGATATTTTCTGTCACACCTTGCAACTGTCGGGACATCAGCTTAATATCAGATTAATGTCATCTTTGACAGCACTGGTCTCTCAGTTCTGTGTTTTCTGGAGACTAACGCAAGGTAACGGAGTTATCCCCAGGTTTCGGTGTGCTTTTTCTACCTCTGCACTCTCCCTCATGGTAAATATGCCAAGGGGATTGAAGGGTATCTTTGTCTATGCTGCTATTCATCGCAGCTAAGTTTTTATTCCTACCTGCAGGTTGTGGCAGTCAAAGTGAGGTCACGGCCTGACTATGCAACTTCTTGTTCCTCCCTCAGTATTGGGTTTAGACCACCCTGCTCGTTTTTTGCCTTATCACCCATTCCTTCTGGGTAAAGGAATGGATAATTAGGTTGTCTCAGACAATGCATCCCACATCTTACATAGCATACCACCCTATGTTGGATGTGGGATGCTCTATACTCACCTAGTTTTGCTCACATAGTTGTGGTTGCAGATATCAAGTCACAGCTCCTGGCTCTGCCTTTTCACTGGTTGCTACTAGGTCGCTCTTTCTGCTTCATGAGCTTTATCATACCTCTTCTTAAAGCTATGCAGACTAGTCCTCTTCCTGGTAACTCTGTGACTGAAGAAATACTTCCTAACATCCCTGTGATTCATCTGAGTCTTCAGCTTCCAACCGTGACCCCTTGTTGTTATGTCCCATCTCTGGAACATCCTGTCTCTGTTCACCTTGTCGATGTTATCATATCCCCTTTGTCTCTCCTGTCCTCCAGTGTTGTCAGGTCGATTTCCCATAACGTCTCCTCATAGGACATGTCCCTCAGCTTCGGGACTAGTCTTGTTGCAAACCTTTGCAATGTCTCTTAATTTCCTTACGTGCTTGGCTAGGTGTGGGTTCCAAACTGGTGCTGCATACTCCAATATAGGCCTAACGTACACGGTGTACAGGGTCCTGAACGATTCATTATTGAGATGTCACAATGCTATTCTTAGGTTTGCTAGGTGCCCGTATGCTTCAGCAGTTATTTGGTTGATGTTTGCCTCAGGAGATATGCCTGGTGTTATACTCACCCCAAGATCCTTTTCCTTGGGTGAGGTTTGTAGTATCTGGCCCCCTAGGCTGTGCTGTGTCAGACAAGAGAGGTTATTTTTTTATGAAGACTTAACTGATTCCCTTGAATGAGCACATGAATGCCTTTTTAAGCATCTCATTTTTCCACTAATGTGTTTCTCATTTCAAATATTTATTTCCTTTGAACTTTTATTGTAGTGATCACTTTTCTTTCCTCTTGGAGTTAGCAGTATCCTTCCTCCAGTTTATCTTCCATGGTGGATACTGATGATTTCAATTATATGCACAGTAGTAGTGTTGAATTCTGCATTTGGTTTATTGTTGCATCAGGTATAATTTTTTTTGTAAATAAGCTGATGTCAAGTGGGTGGTGTCAGATATCAAGAGGGTGATGTTCACAAACGCTTAGTATAGTTCTGAGTACAATATATGCAAGGCGTTAACTTCATAGACAAGAAATGGAATAAGATCTGAAGATATCTGAGAAGTACTCCCAGAGACCTCTGCCAAGTCTTCTTTATCATCAGCAGGTGGCCAGCATCTTTAGCCAAGTAATCCTGAGATCCAAGTTTGGAAACTTTAGGCAACTATCTTTTTATTTTTTGAGGAGGATACTGGGAAGCTTCATAATCTGTTGTTTGGGATGAGGTTTTTGTGGTCTTGCTAGATGGCATTACCCTCCACAGCCCTGGGAAAGGATCGGGGTCCATTACATATTGCATCACCTCCCTCCAAGTAGTTTTCATTAGACATTTAATTTTACTAGGGTAAGGAGGAGGAGGAGGAGGAGGAGGAGGCTTTGCTTCCCTACGATTCAATGGTCTGTGGTTCTGGCTGAACTATGAACTACCACCCAACTTCTCTGACATGCTGTATCTGCAAATTATAATGATGTTTAATGTTCATCTGGTCTAACTGGAGTTGGAAGAGATGATAAGGAAAAAAAGTAAATTTAATTTAAGAAGGAACACATGAATATGCTTTGGTAAGCAGGAAGGCTTAAGCAATAGTTTGAGAACGATTTAGCATAATGTCAGAGACAACCAAAACAGCTATATGGCCACATTTGAAAAAATGGGACTGTATAGCTGACCAAATGATAAGAAGGAAGAAAAAATCACACACACACACACACAAAAATACAGTAATATGTAATGAACTGATTAGAAGGTTTATTAATGCATTCGTTTATGAGACAGAAATAATAGCTGAAACCAAAAGGGAAGACAATGTATAACCAAGAATATGTAAAATCTAAAAGTCAAAGGATGAAGTAATGATCTTGATGCAAGTAGATACCAAATAAGAAAGTGTGGAAACTTAGAATTTACGTGTTGTGACTGCAGATGGGCCCTAGAATTTGCAAGACTTAGGTTTCTGATGGTATTATGAATCCTGAAGAAGTGGATAGTTAGAAAAATTTGTATGCCTGAATTGTGGATTTTTTCCTTATTCTTTATATGTATGAGTGTACAGTGATGGGTAAGGATAAAGTTAGTAGGATTGCCTCTACAAGTAAAGAATATACTTATGGTTGGGTGCCCACAATTTAGATACACAGAATATTCTCTTTCTGGAAAAGAAAGATGAGGCAGGTATATATAGTTAACAAATTAGATAATACCCTTTTAAGTAATGGAAACAAAACAATTCCATTATCTGACTCCTGGAAGAAATTATGTTAGAGTGAAGACGTGTCAATTACGGGACAGCAATGCAGGTGAGGCCAGAGAGAGAGGGGCACTGCGTGGGGGGAAGTGGGGGCTACCGATTTTTCCGGTTAACCGTTTATGTAAGATAAGTGGAGCTAAAGATTTGGCTAAATTAAAACTGCCTCCTTTCTGTTGGACTGTATTTTGTTTGTAGACTGGCACAGTTTTCAGCCATCAGGCTCATGTATTGTACATTTTCTTAATGCCTATTGTGGAGAAAATTTCTCCAGGAGGGGGGGTATCAGCCCCTTAACCCTTAAACGGTTCAAACGTATATATACGTTCACTCGCGCAGCGTCCCGAATATTTTGAAAAAAAAAAAATCTTTTTTTTTTATATAGAAAAAAAGAACACATTTTTTAAAGTGTTTTAGCATAAAAAAATTTTTAGGGTCAGTACTTACCGGCGACGCTAACGTATGTCGTCCCGACATACAACTAATACAAACTAGAGATGGCATTACTAGTTGCAAGTAATTGTTTTCCGACAAGGCGTCCCCTGTGGAGAAACTACTACTTGAACTAGCAGACATTGCAGGGATAGGCTCAGCACTCAAGGTAGTCAGAGCGTCCTCGGACACTTGAGGTAACTGGACACTATCTTGCAAGTCTGAAGTTGCAGGAACACAGACAGGAATGACAGGATCATCAGTGCCTGACCGCTTGGGTACGCTACTGGAAAATGCACTGGCCTGTAAGGACTTAATTCGAATGTCGTACTCTGCGGCAGTATGGCAGATCTCGGATCCAAGCTGGTAACCCCAAAATGGTACGATCAAGTCATCAATTTGGGCATGCCATTGATAAGGTCGAGCACAATGTGTAAGTCTCGCAGGGAAGCAAATCCAGTAGAAGGTCACCAGGGAAAGTAATCTGGTCGACAACAAGGAAGGAAGCAGTGAAGTCTCTACCTTGGAAAAAGTTAGGGAAGT